TTCATCCCCTTATGGGGGATACTTCCTCTTCCACTCCTTGTTGCTTGTCGTTTCTGCAAGCCATAACTCATTCAGATCAAAAGTATGACCCTATTTGTGCTTTAGGTCACTTCCAACTTCCCTCTGCTCACCTCAGTGTTCCTTCTTCTTTTTCTTCTTGACCTCTTGACTGAAGTTGAGAATTTTTATTGATGCCACCTGAGAGATTATGCTTAAGACATCTCCTGGGAGTGATTTTGAAAATTTTCTTTCTCCTTCTACTTTGATCATTCCAACTGAAGATTTATTTTTTTCACATGCACCTTACTTTTTGATTTCTAACACCTTCAAAGTTATCTCCTCATCAAATGATTTCAGTGTTAGATTACATGTCTTGATATCAAAATTGAATCTACTAGTAAGCAAAAATGGTCGACCAAGAATGATAGGAGTCTTTTCATATTCAAGAATGTCCATGATCTGGAAATCAACTGAAAAAACAAAATTGTTAGTTTCCACCAATACATCTTCAACTATCCCATATGACTGTTTGATGGTATGATTAACAAATTTCAATTTTGTCCCACTCCCGCTTATCTTTTCAATACCAAGCTTTTTGAAAATAGACAAGGGCATCAAACTCACTCTAGAACCATAATCAATTAGAACCCTCTTGAATTTTCTGTCTTTTATATTGTGCATGGTATTGCAACTGACCCCAAGTCCTTCTGCTTGATAGGAATTTTTCTCTCGGGCGTGATTGCACACAATTTCTCATCAACGGGTACATGTTCATATTCTGTTGAACTCTTTTTTGAGAGTACATCCTTCATGAATTTCTGGTATAATGGAACTTTCTCGAGTGCTTCAAAGAACTCTTTGTGGATCTCTAGCTTTTTGAAAATTTTGACAAATTTCTAAAAGTCTCTCTCTTTTGTGTTCTTATTTGCCACTCAAGAGGGATATGGAAACTTGATCACTGGTTTTGCACTCTTTGCACTCTTCTCTTCAGTTGGCTTCGCAGGTGATACCACTTCTTCTTGCTTTTTCTTGCTCTCTCTCACTTCCAGATCTACTTCTATGATATTATCACCAAATTTTACCTCATCTTCTTTTTCTTCAGTAGCTTTCTGACTCCTTATTATGACAACATCATTCTCATGATTTTTCTAATTTCCTTGTGCTTGCAAAGTTACTTGTTGTGCAATCTGTCCCATTTGCACTTCCAATTTTTTTATTGTAGCTGTGGTATTTTGGTGATTGCTCCTTGTCTCTTCTTGAAATTGTGAGGTGTGGGCAACCATTTTTTTAATAGCCACCTCCCACTCTGTCTTCTGAGGAGCTTGTTGTTGCTGATCTTTTCAGAAGAAGTTCGGATGATTCTTCCACCCAGGATTATAGGTGTTAGAATATGAATTATTCTGCTTCAAAAAATTCATCTCCTCAATTTGTTATGGAGTTTCAAGATAATGGACAGTCATGTGTGGTCCACTGCAAATTTCACAACATGCCTTGTGTGCCTGTTGAACCTGAGCTACATGTTGAGTATCCACGTTAATTGCTTTCAGCTTTTTCTCCCCTTCTGCAGCAACAACCTCTTCAATTTTAAATTGCTTGTTAACTTCTAACTTTAGATCAATCACCCCCTTTGGTTTACTTATAACTCTGTCATATAGCTCCAAATGCTCATTTGTAGCAATGGATTCAATAATCTTCTTCACACTAGTGGTTATTGTAAAGTTGGATGAGCCACCGTCTTCTGTATCAATAAGTTGCTTTGTCTTTATTCGAAGGCCATTCACAAATATCTGCATTTGCTCAGTTTGATCTATATTGTGAGTGGGACAAACTACCGATAACCTCTTGAACCTCTTGTACATATCATCTGGCGACTCTCCTTCTTTCTGCTTAAAATTCACAATTTCATATCTTTTGTGAATGTAAACAGAAGCAAGAAAGTATTCATCAAGAAAAGTCTTCTCCATTTATTCCCAAGTGGTAATACTTCCAGCAGGCAATGAGTAAAACCACTCTTCATCATCTCCAGACAGCGTGAATGGAAACATTACTAATTTCTTAGCTTCTTTAGAGTGCCCCTCAATTTTCAAAGTAGTGTTCATGGTGAGAAATCTCTGCAAGTGTTTGTTGGCATCTTCATTGATCTTTCTAGTGAAAGATATGTTCTCAAACTGTCATATTGTTGAAGGGTGCGGCTGAAAGTTTGCAACAGTAACCGGTTAATTCAATATAGTCAACCGACCTGTTGGAGCATTTGCTCCTACGTAGTCCCCAAGAAGTCTCTCTGGTGGTGGTAGATTTTCAGCCATAGTTTCGGGATCTGATTCTGAACCTGAGTCTGTAAACTGGATGTTCTTCATCAGAGGCCATTCTTGCTATCCGAGCTTATCTTTGCCTTGCGTGAAAGGTTTTTTCTATCTTTGTGTCAAAAGGAAATTCAGCTGAGGGCTTTCCTCGCATGCAAAGGTTAGAAAAAATCAGTAATAACAAATATTATAAAAATTACAAAAAATAAAATTCTAGTCGCAGAGCAACAAAAATTTGAACTTGATAATTTGGCAGTCCCCGACAACGGAGCCAAAAACTTGATCAGAAAAATAGCAAGTGTATTATTTTGCCTCTTGTAATAATATGGAAATTCCCCGAATGTCGATCTCAAGGATTGCGTATCAGTATCGAGTTCAATGCGTGGTTCAATCAAACAAAAACTTGAATTAGGGTTTTGACTTGTTATTGTCATTGTAAAATTAGCAGAAATATAAATTGGCTTTTCACAAGTATGAGCAACATGCTAGGGTGTGGTGTATAATTTGCCACGTAACAATCTTGAATTTTGATTTCTTCAACAAGTTGATAATACCAATTACCATCCCTTTAGAGTATTTTCCCCTAAATCCTTAGTGGGAAAACCTTTGAACATTCATCCTAAATCCTAAGTCCTTATAGAGTTATGATGAAATCAAGCATTTGTTTTATCAAGAGTTAACCGGTAACTATAGGGTATCCCAAGTCCTAGGTGATATTTACTATAACCTAATCGTACAAAAACCTTAACAACCGCAGTCCCGCTGGTTGTTAACCGTAAATTAATCCTAATTGATTCGATCAAGAAAGCATGAAAATATTGCACGATTAAATTGAATAATAAAAACTATGGAATTGATAAAATCAGAAATTCAAAGTCATTACAGATTCAAATCAGGAACATCCCCCTAACATTGGGGGTTTAGCTACTCATATTGTTCAAAGTAATTTCAATGATATAAAAAATAGACATTATAAATAACTGATAAACTTTGATCATCAATCGCTTCCGATCATGAAAAATCTACATCCTCAAATAATCTCATATGCTACTCTCTTCTATCATCAAAATTCTCCATTGGTAAAAAATTCTCCAATTCATCGTAGAAACTCATCTAAATAGCAAAAACTCACTTAGGTCGGATGAAAGTATCCAAAATTCCCCAACTTAAGAAATCAGCGTCACAGGCCAACACGGCCGTGTTGGACAACACGGCCGTGTTGGACAACACGGTCGGCCGTGTTGGACAACACGGTCGCCCGTGTTGGCCTTATGAATTTTTAATCATCAAATTCAAGTCCCAGAGGTTGCAACACGGTCGCCCGTGTTACACCCCTGACATTCCATATTTTTCAACGTACCACAGTCTTCCTCCTGACACGGCCCGTGTTGGCAACACGGCACCTGTGTCAGGCCTCCTGAAATATGATTTTTGTATTTCTTCCGAAACTTTGTGTTTTGCACTAATTTATTCCTTTAAATCTGAATATATTAAAACACAAAACCAACGCATAAAAGTAGTAAAATGAAATAAAATACGCGACGATAAAAAAAAGGATAACATAAAACAATGGTAAATAACTGTGTAAAAACCACTGATCAAACAACATCAACCATGTTCACATCCTCCTCATTAAGGTCTCAAATATTCACCGATCACAAGAGCATGTGTTAACCTTAAATTCAATAAGATCATCAAAATTAAAGATATTTTTATGAGTACACGTCATACGAAAGAAATACACATTTGAGACCTTATCACATTTGTTGGAAAAATCTATAAGAAACCCAAAACCATATGCAAATCAATGCTTCTCTCTCTCTCTCTCTCTATATATATATATATATATATATATATATATATATATATATATATATATATATATATATATATATATATATATATATATATATATATATATATATATATATATATATATATATATAATTTAAACACCCAAACTTCTAACGAACACTTATAATCTTTTCCCTTCTTGTTGATTTGTCTTTTGGATTATTTTGTGTGAATGCTTATGCTCTAATTAGGCACTTTCTACTATTTTTGTATGACCGTTTATTTATAAATTGAAAAATAGGGATGCACTTGCAAGCTAAATTAATTTTTGACAATTACTATCTTATATTAGATTAAATCATTTTAATTTTAAAATTCTTTTAATGACATGATAATTTATTGACTTTCTATTGGATGACAGTGTAAAATAATTTTACGCTACCAATTTTATATAAATTAAATTTTATAAAAATCATAAGTAAATTGAAAAACATATTTGATTTAACATTAAAAAAAAATTTACTTTTAATCTTTTATAACATTAATAATTATAAAATCTAATATGTAAAAGTAATACATATTGTTATTACATTAACTTTCTTTAATATTAATATATGTGAAATTTATAGGAGGGACTAGTAAATTGTGATAAAGGAGAGAGTAATTTATTAATAACCTCATTCCAACTCTTATGTCTTTTTCTTACTATTAGATTTCAGAACCTTTAAAGTTCACACATACAGTTCACACTACAATTTCCTTTACCAGTTACCTCTATAAATTCCCACCTTCATTTCCTACAACAACTCAACACACACAGATTCTCTCTCTCTTTTCTTATTCCTCTCAAAGATTATCTCAGCCATTTAACTTTCTTGTTATCTCTCCTAAAATAAATCAAATATGAGCAAAATAACAGCCCTGTTCTTCATGTCTCTCTTCCTCTGCTGCATGCTCACCCACTCTGCAAGACCTGAACCATCTTTTCAAAGGGAATCTTTGGTAGTAACACAGCATGAGGTTGGTTCTATTAACTTTTTACACAACTTTTTCATATCTTCTATTGATGCTTAACAAGTGTACATTTCATATGTTTACAGGATGTTGATGCAGTTGATACAATCTGTGAAGGGATTGAAGAGGAGGAATGCTTGATGAGGAGGACACTAATTGCTCACACAGATTATATTTATACACAGAAGAATAACCCTTGAAACAATCTTCAACCTCTCCTTGTTTTGATATCACTAGTTTATTAATTAGTACTAATATAGTATTATACTCAGCCTGAGTATTTCTTTACTTTGATGTTTTGTGTAATATATTTGTATGTTATAAAACATAAAATATAAGCTGTTATATACATGTCTTAGATAGTGAGTTTACTGTAACATACAATACAATTACTAGTAACCAATCAAAATCAACTATAAATAGGGCGGAGCTATTTACTTGAAGGATAATGCTAACATCTGAGTATCATAGCAGTAGTATTAATGATAATCCTGGTTTTTAAAAATAAAATTATGACAAATTAATAGTGTGACAGAAAAAGTACTCTGACCGTGAGTATATTTTACTTGTTGAGCCAACCATAACTGGATTTAATGCAATCTATTACTCTTCTCTGCATATAAATTCAATGTGACCAACAACTTTTGCGGCTTATTCAGATGGCAATATTGATCAAATTGGTTGATGTTGATGCATGCATCAATATGCCATGATTCAGTCATAAAAACAACTGTATATAGGTAAAAGTTACTAGTATAATTTTGGGTTTTCAACTAATGCCAAATTCAGTCATAAATAAGCACATACTGTATTTTATAATCATTTATCAATGACCTACTTTATAATCAACATATGCCTACATACTCTGCAGACTACTTTTGATATTTTTTATAGAACTCACAAATTATGTATGTATCAGTGTGTTTGTTGAATGGAAATAGAGTGTATGATCTTACAACATGAAATGAAAGATAAACAAGAGCCACGGTCTTTCTCAGATCCTTTCTCTCTGGGCTTGGACTGAGTAAGGCAAGTCCGACCAATTGGCTAATAGCCATCTTATGCGTCTTTGGCCTTTATCGTGCTCAGCTAGAATCCTATCACTGTGCAGCAAGCAAACATGTATTATTATTATTAATAGAAACGAATGGTTCTAGCAGAAGCCATGCAAAACCACGGTACGCCAGTTCAAACATCAAATTGTTAGCATCTCAACCAGTTCCAACACCAATAAGCTCAAAACAATTCTGTTGTACATAATACACTGACAGCATTCTAGGGACACCCTATTCTTTCTCTTACATAATACCTCAAATAATATCTCAGCCATCCAATTTCTAATATTAATAGTTAGCTTATTTCTGTTGTACTAACCATCCTGCTACATCTTGCTCCACAATGACTTTCTTTTTTTTTTCCTTTTTTTTTTTTTAATTTGTAATATACATCTGATGCCATTCTGATAAGTTGGCAAACATCTTATTCTTTGTGTAGTGCTTCTCAATCAGCTGATGCCCCACTGCTCTCCCCATTACATTAGAATCTTCACCCTTTAGTTATCAAATTAAATTTTCCACCACTCTGTTTTTTAATTAATATTTTGTTCCCACCCTTACTGCTTCATTTTGTTCTCCTGTAACACCTCTGCTCACTGTTCTAAATCCCGTTTCATAGTTCCCTGAAACTATGCCTATGTAAATGTGGCCCAACCTAAATACACGCCTCCAAGCCTATGTATAATGTGTCCCAAATTCTTCTTGGCCCACACAAGCTATTACAGACATATATTTATATGAGCACAAATCCAAGTCCATGAGAGGACAAACATGTGTTCAGGTGATCTGCCCAAAAAAGACTCATGATTATAACCAACAAAGTATCTTTGTTTTGACTGTGTTATAGCCACATGATTGGACACGTACAAGGACCACTTGACCAATTCTGCTAAAATTATTACAGCACTTGATTGAATCCAATAAGGTTTAGAGTCCCTCAACTCAAACACTGAGCTTGTAAGGCAAATACAGTCTACCGGTACACTCAGTCGATATATACTATGTTCCAAAGTACTTATGAGCAAGAAGAGTGATATACCAAGTAATCGACTAGTATCCTGAACAGTCTATAGTCTAATTTATAAAATAAAACTTATAGATTACAACTCACATTTAGCTAACTAATATATAACAACAACCTCTACTACTATAAAGAAAACAAAATTTAATCAACATTTCACAGCATCTAGTCTCTGTGCAAGTACCAGTCAGATATCAAAGGTTCTATTAGTGATAAAAGAATAATAGGTGACAAAAAGTTGCAATACACTCACACTGAATAATGCCAAAGTTTATGAACATGGAATAAGGAAGTTTCGGAAGGTGGTATACTCCTATATAATATGAGTATATACAGAAACAGAACATCAAGAAGTATCATGTATATGGTCACTTTATATCTTTCTAAATCATTTACAAAATTAATACATGTATGATATAAAGACATATAGTATTATAATAAACTATAAAGCATTGAAGCAGCAAAATAAAAATTTCCTAGTTCAAATTACGGATCATCTTCATATCTATTATGTGCAGGTACAACGAGAGACATATCATGAAGATTAGTAATCACCACTTAAGCATGCACCAAAGCCCAAGTGCAATCCATCATGTGCAGGCACAAAGAGAGACATATTATGAAGATAACAGAGAATTTAGCTGCGGCATATCTCATAATCTCAACCACTGCCTCGTGAACATTGTGACCACATCTTGTCACAGAAGCACATAATGTTTGCAAAATAAACTCCATGAAAGATCTAACGGTCTCAAACGTAACCCTCCCAGTCACATCAAGAACAAGTTTCCTATTACTAGGAATAGCCAATGTGGACGAAACCTTCCTGACCCAACCATTTTCATTCTCTTCATCACAAACATCTCCTTTCGATTCAACACATGATGTCTCTACAGAACTTGGAGCTTCTTCATTACCACCAAAACAAGAAACTGCACCCGAACTATCATCCGTGTTTGAGCTATTAAACACCTGGTGAGATGTTTTGACAAGACTCTCTATGGCACCATTACAAACATCAACCAACATTTCTCTAACTCTAGTTTCATTTTTCGGGTTAGTTAATCCCGAAAAGAAATCATCATAAGTATTGATATGCATGGTTTTGTCAAGATAAACAGCAACCAACGTACTAACAAACACTTGAACTAAATTCCCAATCAATTCCCCACATTTATCCCCACAAACAACATCAACCCATTCCGGAACAACACGATCAGAATTCAAACTCCCATCTGCATTACTCGAACTCGATTCTCCACTAAATTTCCCACCGGCATCTGAATAAAAACCAATAACTAAGTTCCTAGCAAAGCTTCCAATAACAACAGAAGCAAAGCCCGAACCAGCTGGTGTAAACATTTTATCAAACACCTTGTCCGCAATGATTGAACCAGACCCGGACGGATGAATTTCATCACTCTGGTTCACGGTTTGATAACCGCGCAAGACTCCGACAGTTACGGAAGTCATGATACTAACCAAAGAATCTGAAAACTGTTTCGAGGCAGATAATTTAGAGATTTGATTCAAACTATTCGGAACTCGATCAGAATCGGATTGTAAGAAATCATTCACATCTTTGGTGACAATACCAATGGTGTCTGCAGAATCGGAAACGGCTTCTGCTACAGAAACGAAAGCGTTCAGAATTTTAGAAAAATTCTTTCGCTTTTGAGCTATGAAAGGTGCGTGATAAGTTTTGTAACAACCGTAAGTGGTGAACCCTACTGCGAGTAAGATGAAGGTCCATTTCCTTCTTTTGCGGACATAATCGAAACCGTTTTGAACTAATTGAAGTTCCATTAACTGAAATTAGTTATAGATGTTTGTTACAGAAACTCCTAAATTTTGAATAAATGGGGCGGAGAAAACAGAGGTGGAAGAAGGTTGTTAGGTGTTCAATTTACTCGTCTAAGTGTCACATTCAAATTACAACAGCCACTTAAATATATATTTTTTAATTGTAGAAGATAATAGTAATATATTAATAATAATAATAATAATAATAATAATAATAATAATAATAATAATAATAATAATAATAATAATAATAATAATAATAATAATAATAGTGTAATTTTTGGAAAATTAAGATAGAAAAAAAATATAATAAAAAGATAAGAATATGACATCACAATGATATGATAAAATATATATTATATGATGTATATCTGGTAAAATTAAATATATTATATAATTATTTCACTACTTAATAATTATATGAAAAAATATATATTATATTTAAATTATAAAATTAATAGACTATTTATGTTTTTAAATTTAACTTCTGATATTTTAAAATTTTATAAATAAATAAATAATACATTAAAAAGTTAAAAGTAATTAAACAAATTTAAATAATTTTTAAAAAATCATTTATACAATTAAATAATCAATTTTAGCTTTATTAAAATATCGTAAATAAATAAGTCATTTTATTACACAAAAATAAAGGTGAAAACAAGTTGAGTAAATTAAGCTTTTTCAAATTAAATTCGATCTACTACAAAATTTAAAGCCTAAATAGAATTGTAACATGTCAACGTTTTATTTTTAAATTTGAGTCTAACTTTTTTGAAATTATGATGAACTATTAAGCTACTTTAAAAATTATTTTATTTGAACACATAAGAATAAACAATTCAACTAATTTTTAAATAGAATAATAAATTAAAATAATAATGAAACTAAATATTATATTTATTCGAATTTACCTACAAACATAAATTTTGTAATATATTTTTTTTAATTTATGAAAATATTTATGATATTATTCATAAGATTTTTTAAATTTATTTTCATAAATACTTTAAAATGATTAAATTTTATTTTTATATTTTAATTTAAAATATAAAATACAATATAATAATAATAAATATATTCATGTTTATTTAAATAAGTTAACATAATAGCCTTAACATGCTTTTTTATGTTATATGGCATAACTTTTTTTTTCATTAAATAGAATTTTAAAAAAGACAATATTCATTTTGGTCCCTTAACTATAGGTTATGGTTTATTTTGGTCTCTTATCTTTTTTTCGTGTCAAATTGGTCTCTTAAGTTTCAAAACATAACCACGTTAGTCATTCCGTTAGTGAAACGTTAGTTAAATACAAAAA